TTTCGGTTAATTGATGTTTCGGTTGATCGGTATTCAGATAATCGATGCTCTGTTGCAGTGTTTTTCAACCTTCTTGAATACACAACCCCTTTACAAGTTAAAAAATTCTGGTGAACCCCCAGGGCCATATTAAAACTATATCAGTGATTTTAAAAATTACATATTTAATTTTCTTTCTTTAAATATCGATCGAAAAACCAATTGTACTGTAAAATAAACAGGCACAGCCTTCTCAGTGAAATTCTAGATTTTTTATTGTAGTGTAGGACCTACAAACACTTGTCTTTTCCTTTCACCCGCGATCCCCCGTGTAAGGCTTTACGACCCCCCTGGGGATCGCGATCCACAGGTTGAAAAACACTGCTCTATGGAATATAATAAAATTAAAAATAGAACTAGTAGAAGAATTAACATATATAATAATATTAAAGACTTGAAGAAGAAATTCCTGTTAGACAGATATCCTAATAGATTACTTAAAATTTGGAAAGATAAAATAATGAACAGAATTCCGGCATGAATAGAATAGACAATGAAAAGACTTCTAGAAAAAATAAAGAGCAAGCCAAAATAAATTTTATTCCATTCCCATTTCTTCATATAAACCCCTAATGGGTTTATATGAAAAAATTAATAAGGAGATAAAAAACACCAACGTAAAACTTGCTCCAAAGTATAAAAAATTTTTAGCTAGATTAAATACTAAGAAATCTACATCAAAAGGAAAACAGGTAGATGAGATAAAAAAAAACATTGTATATCAAATCCCGTATACATGTGAAAATACAAAATTCTACATAGGAGAAACTAAGAGAAAGATGAAAATTAGATTAAAAGAACGTGTAGCAGACTTAAAACATCACAAATGTAATTCAGCTTTTCTTGAACACTGTACACTAAATAACTGCAATATTGATCAGAATAATGTTAAAATCCTACATAAAGAAAAAGAAACTTATAATAGAAAATTCAAAGAAAGTATAGAAATTTTAAAAAATAAACACTGTACAAATAAAAACTTAAATTTAAAAATCAACGAGAATTGGTTTAAAATACTGTAAAAATTCTTTAGAGAGACCTCGCTGGAAAGCAGCTTTAGAAGGGGAAATTTTTTTTTGGAAAAATATCCTTAAAAATGGTTAAAATGAATTTTTAGAATTTACGATTAAAAATGGTTTAAATCGTGACAGTCTTGGCTCGCCACTTTAAAAGAACACATGATTATGCAAATTACCATAGAAAAATCGCCACCAGATACCGAGAGACGAACAAACAGATTCGTCAAAGTGAAGTTTAGTTCTGTCGATTATGTAGGAACTGTCACTAACATTAAATAAGAATAAAAAGATTAGTCAAAGAGAAGTTCAGTTCTGTGGATTATGTACGAATTGGTATTAACATTAAAGAAGAAAGAACTGTGCTACACGTCTTTTCCAGTTTTCCCTTTGTATCTCCGAGGGTCCTCTGAGAATGTGTATGTAAAGATAAGTTAAGTATATAGCATAATATTTACGCACTAGGTACATTAATTATATTCATTTTTTATAAGACTTTATGGAGGTTTAAAGGGATCTTCAAATCCAAAAAAAAACCTGGTCGTGAAAGTCAAGATCTTGTGTATACCAACTAAAGTTAAGTCTTTGGCCTAGTATTTGAGGTATGTCCTGTGTAGAATTTGTCAATTTGTTTTTTAAGCTGTAATTTTATGGTTAAAAAACCTTTTCTTAAATTGAAACACTAGGTAATCCATTGTATATTGTATAGTTCCCGCTTGTGGTAATATACATCTAAGGATGGCGTTGGCATTCGTATTTTTAAGGTACAGTACATTGTGCTACTTGTATAATCCGAATTTTTTAGATTTATGTATGTAAAAATGGTTTTGTATATAATTTTAGTTGACTGAAGAAGGGCATATGATGCCCGAAACGTGTGTGTAAACGCGTATCAACGAAAATTGAAATAAAGTGAATCGTGCCAAGTGATCGTTATTACGCTGAATTGCGCTTAAACCTGGTACCCACATGCGGCAACGGACGACGGAAACGGNTCTGGTCCGGCATAGTACACAGCCACCGGTGTGTACCGAGTATAACCCACTAAACCCAACACATAATAATAATAATAGTAATAAGTTCAGAGCCCAAATGGTTAGGAGTTGAAAGTTGAAATTTGGTACACAGTTACAGTATGCCATGTGAATATACACTAAGAAGGAATTTTTGGAAATTCCCCCATGGGAAGAGGGAGAAGGTTAAGGATTACCTTGAAGAACTCTGCTTCTATTGTATTATTTTAGATGTAGTTTTTTGCATTTTTTCAGGAAATTGAACATATTTTTAGACTCATCTAAAAATTCTCTAATTAGCCTTGGAAGAGGGGAGACCTAATTCTTGTACCTGGTGAAAACAGATAAGATTGGCTATATAGCTATACAGATTATCTTACTTAAGGGTTTATCACATTAAATGACCAGTCTAACACATTTTCTTTATTCCTTNGAGACCTAATTCTTGTACCTGGTGAAAACAGATAAGATTGGCTATATAGCTATACAGATTATCTTACTTAAGGGTTTATCACATTAAATGACCAGTCTAACACATTTTCTTTATTCCTTTACTGTACATAATTTAAAAAATTTTTTAAATGTCTTAGATTGGGCACTTGGTGTGCTAAACTCTTATATTTACAAAATTTATCTTACATAAATCAAATACTATAATATAATATAGTACAGTGTTTTCCAACCTTCTTGAATACGCAACCCCTTTATAAGTTAAAAAATTCCGGCGACCACCCCAGGGCCATATTAAAACTATATCAGTGATTTTAAAAATTACATATTTAATTTTCTTTCTTTAAATATCGATCGAAAAACCAATTGTACTGTAAAATAAACAGGCACAGCCTTCTCAGTGAAATTCTAGATTTTTTATTGTAGTGTAGGACCTACAAACACTTGTCTTTTCCTTTCACCCGCGATCCCCCGTGTAAGGCTTTACGACCCCTCTGGGGATCGCGATCCACAGGTTGAAAAACACTGCTCTATGGAATATAATAAAATTAAAAATNAATTCTGGCAACCCCCAGGGCCATATTAAAACTATATCAGTGATTTTAAAAACTACGTATTTAATTTTCTTTCTGTTGAGACCTAACTATCGATCGAAAAACCAATTGTACTTTAAAATAAAAATGCAAAGCCTTCTCACTGAAATTGTAGTTTTATTTATTTTAGTGTAGGACCTACAAACATTTGTCTTTTTCTTTTACCCGCGACCCCCGTGTAAGGCTTTGTGACCCCCCTGGGGGTCAAGATCCACAGGTTGAAAAACACTGATATAGTAAAAAGGTTAGAAGTATGAAATAATCTAATACAGTAATCTTAATTTTTGCTTTTGTTATCTTTTGCCCAAGCAATGCTGGGCTCATATGCTAGTGAAAATATAAATGAATATATACAATATGCAAATAATAAAAACAATGGGATCGGTGTAGACAAATATTAAAATTAATAAATTCCAAAAATTTTTTTGTTTAAAAAAACCTTTAAGAACCACAAGTGACGTTCACTCTTTAATTCCGACTTCGATAGAGTTTAAAAAACTCTGGTTTTCTCTGTTTTTTTAAACTCTATCGAAGTCGGAATTAAAGAGTGAACGTCACTTGTGGTTCTTAGAAGTTTTTTTAACGAAAAAATTTTTAGAANGGTTATCTAATGACATTTAAATACTATATAAATATAAAAAAATTTTTGTGTTATTAATTTCGAATACATATTATTTCGAAACCTTCTCGTTGGCGCCATTTGATAAAGGCGCCTATGGCGAGGGCCACATTGGCCATACCCTATGGGACATTCCAATTTTCAACGCGAGTGTTGAGTGTTGAAGTCAACAATTTGACGTCATCAACGACGTTCCAACTCGAGTATGAAGTGCTTAGTTCCCATAATTCCATTCTCAGCAAGATGGATTCCATTCAAATGTTTTACCAATTACCCACAATTCATTGGAAAGTAGCAGTCAACATATCTGTTGACAACTTTCCGCGAAGACGCGTTTCTATCAGCCAATAACAGTTCGTCCGGTAGTCACGTGAGAAAATACAATCACGTGGTGTTTTAATGGCGGAAAGTTCCACGCGGTTAACCGAGATAACTAACATCAGAATAAAGAGGAAAGGATAATAAATTTAACACAAATTCTACACAAATAATCATATATAATTTAATTCAAAGAACAAAACAACCGAATCTTATTCGAAATAGTATTCTTTATCGAGGAATAAGCGTATTTTGTACACCAGTTCTTTATCGATCCAAGAAAATATCTCTAATCCAAATTCTTCGTTCGAATCTTCTAACTAAATAAAGCAAGCCGTACAAAACAAAATTTGTAAACACGTGGTTATCGACAATATCGGTATCATTAGCCATCTTGAATACTGAACGCATGCGCCGAAATGTAAGCGGATTACCACTTGTATGGCTGTGCTGCCGCGAGGCGAAGATGCGTTTGAGACACCGCTTTTCCTTGCCGCGCCGCATGTGTGCATCCGGCTTGCTTCTACTGTTTTTCGATACACGTCACAATTGAATTTAAGTCAAATTAATTAATAAAAATTGCAAAAATTAACATTCACTTAATGACCCACGAATCTGTTAAAGGTGCTTAACACGAATTAAATAACAGAAATTTATTAATATAATCTATTACAATATTAATATTTCATTTATTATTCATTATTAATTTTTTTCTTTTTAATTGAAGTTGTTTGTTTCTTCAAGTGGGAGAGATTTCTTTTTCATAAATTCTTTATTTTATTTTAAAAATAAAAAAATTCCTTTAGATATAAAATTTTTAAAGATTTGTTTTTTTGTACTATTCATTTTGAACATTATAAAAAGTTATTTCTAATTTTACGTTCTAAATTACTATCCACTGCCCACCAGTGGCCAAGCTGTTTTATTTTCTGAACACTGGTGAGTTCGCGCCTGGCCCGGACAGGCTGGACACGTGGAGCTTTCCAGGTTTTCTCCACGTCTGTAACGCCTGAATAGGTACCAGTTACTCTTATAAGACCACCCGGAAGGCATTAAAATTATAAAAAACTTACCTGTCGCCAACCACCAAACCACATTCCGGACAAATTGTGTCGCCGGCACTGTAGTCTTCGATCAATGCCACGTCGGGATGGTAAGGACACACTACTTTTGCCATGGAATTTCTGAAAAGATTGTAATTTTATTGTTTTGATAAAAAAACTTAAATCTTTTTTCATTTTATAATATTGTAAATGACACTGGCACGAACATGTATAATATTTGAAGAAATTGCATAAATTTCAATCCATTTTCAAATTAATCACACATGCTTAAGAGCAAAACAAATATGTCAATAAAAAACAAGAAAATTGCCTGTTTTCAATTCATAATAAATACCTCGCACTTCAAATGTTAGAGTTTAAATACTAAATTTAACAATAATTTACTTCTGAGTTCTAACGATGCTTTAAAGTTTGAACAGCACACGATGAAATAAAAGCACTTGAAGCATAAATGTGCTGTTGTGTGCCAACTCTTTCAACACATTCAGATGTTTTTTACATTAGTGCTTTTTTTACGTCGCCCCCAAAAATCTCTGTGTGTTTAGGACAACTATTAGAGAGACTTAAGAGATGTCTTAAGAGAGCAAAATTACAAGAAAAGGCCCCATGCAGTAGGATAAACTTTTACCTTTATATAAATTACCGGACATACGATCTTTCGACTTTTTCATTTGATGAAATAGTTAATACTTTGCGATTATTTTAATTAAAATCTCTAGAGTCCGCAAAATAAACGTTATATTAATATTTTCCTAAGTTATATTAATATTTTTCTAAGTTATATAATTTGAGTCATACAGCTATCGTAACTACGTATATATTGACGAAAATTTCGTACTTACCGTATAGAATGTATCAAAAAATATACGAAGTAACACAATGAAGAGATTTCAAAAGGTCTTGACTCTTCAAAATTCTTTAACCAAATGAACAGTAAACGTTTGAAGCCTCTGTTTCAAACCTTTCTATCTCAAAAGGAAACGATGAACTTTCACCCCTGCTAATAGTAAACTAGTCCATCGCCTAACAAGAGTGCCTTAATTACTGGGTGTAGAAGTAGGCTACTTATTGTGTTAGAGCAGTGTTTCTCAACGGGGGGCGATATCGCCCCTTGTGGGCGTTTTCCATGTTGAGGAGGCGATTAGTAACGATTTATATTTTGGAAGGGCGAAAAACAATTTTCTGGGCGATATAGTAAAACATTATATTAAAAATAATTAGATATTTTATTCGTTATATCGTACAATAATTAAACAAATGACATTATACTAGTCACTATTCTATTCCTTGCTATAAAGCCTTGAGAAAGTTTAATGTATGAACAAAAGTGTTTAAAATTGCCATTTGTCTGTAAAGGTTAGATACTTAGTTACTGTCTATTACAAAAATTATTGTTGTTACTTTAATTAAATAAGTAAGGGCTTTAATCGTTCGCTTTATTCATCAAATAACAAAATTTATATTTTTAAATTAAATGTTAATTCCGTGTCAACAGTGCTGGGCAAGCGATCTTTGTCTAGTGATGCCGAAAGAATTAAACGAATAAATATTGAAAATAATTTACGTATTTAATTCTCGAGAAACACAAAACGTATCTATTTTTTTGCAGTGCCATTATGAACAGTAGAACAAGTACAAACGATGAATCTCCAACATCTTCTCTATGCCAAAGTGAAGTTGTGTATATATTAGGAAATATGATCGACATAGTTCAACCTATTCTTCAATATTTAGGAGACGACGACTTAAAAAGGTGCCAATGAGTGTGTAATTTGTGGAAGGATGTTGTCAGACAGATCATGGCAAAAAGAGTGAGACTCGTTAATAAGGTAAAATTATCAATAAGTACATTCTTAAAGTAATTACTTGTATTTAATATTTAAAATGCTCGTTCTTGTATTATAGATATTTTCCTGGAATGTGACGACAGACTCCATTCTTCATCAGTCCGTTTTGTATTCTCGAATTAAAAGAAACAACGACAAATATCTCGTAGCAGAAATTAACAGAAAAGATATGCTAATATGAATCGTGTAAATCAATGCGCGGTAAGTATATATCAAATACGTACGAAGTTTTACTATTTGATTAGAAATTTTCTGAAAATTTAATTATTGATTTTAGAGGCCGAGAGTATATAGAACAGAAATTTAAGTATTTGTATACATTCACAAACGTAGCAATAATTCCACCATATTCAGGCTTTCGATTGCATTGTTTTCAATTCAGTTCTAAAGAACTTGAAAAGTACAGAGCAAATGGAATGAAGAATTGGACAGACCTCATACATATAACTACAGACCAATTAAAGTCCGTTTCGTGGTATGTGGATGGAAGTGTGGACAAATTCTTCCAGAAAATTACGACGTCATACGCTACAGCTGGAATATCCTGCTTTGATACAAGCCCAGCGAATTACAAAGGCAATTCTTTGTAATTGTCCTTTAGAAAGTATTTTTCTTAGTTTCTTCTATTATTTAATTAATTTAATGCCGATTTTTATTCTTTCGATATAAAGTACGTCCCTAAAGTACACGAGGAATCACGCTACATTTTATTATGCCTTCTGGTTATCCGTGGCTTATAAGGATACTGAGATACTGGGATACTGGTCATAGTATGGTTTAACCGAAAAGAATAATTTGTATTATATATATATAATGTAAAACTATGTATAACGAATGAATTTTGATTTAAAAATTAGAAGAGTAACTTATTTTTATTTCATCGAATATAATTAAATTAACTTTAGTTTAGCTTTGCCAGTAATTAATTACAATGTTTAACGTCATTCACTGAACATCGAATCTAAAATTTTCCCAGAGTTAAAACAATAGCACCACCTGCAGAGAAAAGAGCCTTTCTTGGATAGCAGTTCTACGAATCAAGTAAACCACTTAGGACAATAAACAGGAACACCTGGAATAAATGGACCGAAAGACTTCCTGTCTTTCGGTCCATTTACCCCAGATTATTTTTACGTGTTTTAGCTGGCAACACTAGATCGTCCATGAAAGGGAGCCAGTATTTAAACGAGGCTTAATTTTCTAATTTTTAACGATACAATAGCGACGATTATTATTTTTAAAAATTTTTGTTAGGCTTAACATCGATGAAAATTCAACGTGAAGTAGGTTAATAGCGATATACTAATATACTAATTACATGGGATATAATAATATACTACACTAATAATGGATTTTTTCATACTTTTCGGTTATCCGACTTTTCAATTATCCGACCAACTCCAGTCCCCAATTGTGTCGGATTATCGAGACTCTACTGTATGTCTATATGTATTTAAAGGAAATTTGATAAACAATAAAATCACGTGCTATACAGTGCTTATACTAAAAATGCTTCTCTACCTTTTAGTGTTTTTTTTTTAGTAATCTAAGTAATGATAAATCATTCTGAACAGCTTGATTTTTTGAGGAATAAATAGCCGACAGTGCACTGCAGAATATTTATTTTGTTCCATAGTTTACGAAAAAAGGCTAGCATCTAATCATTTCCCTTGCTTGCATCTGCTACAAAGTCTCAAATGCGCAGATTAACTTAGGGGACAGACCGTTACAATCACATGAAACTACTTTTCGCTTATAATAAGCAGTGAAACTCCATTGTTAGAGTCAACACTACATGCTATCAGTGCCCTCTAATAACGGTAGTGTAGAGACTCGCTCATTGCCAGATTATATAGACTATTATTAGAATTGCTTTTTCATTTTTTTTCTTATATATATATATGTTACTGTGAATGACCGAAATGGGGGGAATGTCAACATTCACACAGTTGTTTGTGGTGAATGTCAACATTCAGACAGTTGTGTGTGTCTACATTCACCGGCGAATGTCGCCATTCACAAATATTGGTCTTTCACAGTAACATATATATATAATAAAGATGGTTTCATTAAATTCCTATCCATTTAATATTTAAAGGCTGTATAATAGTCTTTAACATTGTATTACTTACGATTATATTGCTTTCTAAAAGAAAAAGAAAGAAATATCTAGACAAGAATATTGAAACTGTTATTTTGTTTATTCTTTAAACTTCTGTACAGTGCATTTGTTTAATAGAATTGCACAATTAGGGTTTCTCAAACGGGATCCCGGGATCCCGGTTGTTTTTTTAACCCGGGAAATATCCCGGGATATTTTTCTTATCCCGGGAAATCCCGCAAATTTCTTAAAAATTCACTTTTTTCTTNGCCAATGATAACCTTTTGCGAAAAAAAAAATTGAATATATTAATCACACTCAATCAGTTCTTTTAGTGCTTTTAAACCCCTGTTTTTTATTGTTTCTTGCAAATTTTTTAATTGGTTACATTTTTTTGTATTGATTTATTCAATTTCTTCATATAAATTTTTAAGCATAATTTTGCTGACAAATGAACTATTTTGGACATCCGAATTTCATTATGTATATTACAAGTTTATTGTGATATTATTTAGAAATATTGTGTTTAAAGTTTCTAAAATATTGCTTTTGTACATAAACTCAGTAAGAACTATATCAGAAATATAAGCCAATTTTCAGAAACATTTTAAAAAAGAATTAGTAGGATAAGTAAAATCGTCATCCACATTACTATTCCTATATTCTTTAAAATGTGTGTACATAGTTTTTTCTGTTAATGTTTTTGTTTCATCTAAAGTGATTTAAAACATTCGTTATATTTAAATCATCTAGAGCAGGGGTGTCCAACGTTTTTGTTCCTCTGGGTCACATTGGAAGAAGTCATGGAGTTTTGGGCCACAAGTATATTATATATTCTTGTGGCCCAAGTAAATTTTGGCTTAACCCTTAAATATACAAGTATATTTAAGGATTAGCATATTCTAGATTATAGTAATAAGATTATTACACAAACACGTTGTTTA